TCTTGTGGACAGGCTGCCCTGGCCTTGCTGTGCCGGCCCCTGGGGGGGAACCACGGGTAGCGAGATGGTATATACGTGGGTCATACTCTGGGAAGGCAGAGTTGTCCATGCACATGCAGTGGCTGAAGGGACTGTGTCCATAAGGCTTCACAGCCCTTACATTTGTTGTCTCAGGAGCTACAGACACCATGGTCTCCTTCCCTCTGTACCTCTTGGCCCCTCTGCCTTTCCTCTGGTATAAATCCCACCACTCCTTTGTTTCACCACCCCAGCTTGAGGTCTGGAGAAGACCAGCTGCTTTGTCTGATTCTCCTTCCTTCTAATCAAGATCAGTCCTTCAGCTAGGAGGTGCCTTGCAAAGGTACGTCCAGCCAGGTCCACTGATCAACCCCAGAGGAAGGTGACTGTCACTGTTTGGCTGAGTCAAAGCAAAGCCCTCCAGGCCAGCCACAAGCCATCTCTACCTCTTCTCCCCACAGCTGAGCACACGAGTAATGTCTTCTGGCCACTGACTGGAAAACCAAGCCGCTGCATTGTCAATGCTTACATGACCCATTTGCTTTCCTTTCCAGTATTATTCAGGCAAATTACAAATGACCAGTTACAGGATTGCTTGCAAGCATTATTTTCAAATTTCCCATGTATTGTATGCGATTGCTCTTCCATTGGTTTCAGCGGACGTCTTTTCCATTTGCAATGCACTGATTTATACTACTAGACAGCCTATCTGCTTGCCCTGCCAAAAGCAAGCATTCCAGAATGTTTCTGGGTTCCCTGTAATATTTTCTCTTATTCCTCATCCAGGACTAGCAGTATGGGATGTTAAAATAAACTGGTTACTTCAAAAGACAGTTCCTTTGCATGTCGCCCACAAGAATTTGGCTGGCACTTCTGAAGGGGGAATTTCAGGGCTCGTTAAAAAAGCAGTAAAAGAAGCAAGCATGCATGCGCTAATGCTCTCCTTTCTTAGTGGGTTGTGGCTGTCAGCTCCTCCAGGTCGGGCCCAGCTGGGCCTCGACACTCTACAAGCTCTCAGTGATGTTTGCAATGTCAAAGGCTCGTTCAGTTGTGAACTTGCCGTTGCTGGGTGCAGTTGTGAGGTTGCATTTTCTGGACATCACAAGATGTCCATGGCCACTGCCTGGGTGGTTACAGGATCCCTGCCCAGCACGACATCCAGTCCCACATGCCAGCAACAGATCTGGGGGCACAGCCCCCAATTTTCTGACCCCCTTCACCTTTTGGTATGACCAGTGCAGCTCCTTCCCGATTGCCCTGCATTCCTTCCCATACCCCAGCTTCTGCATCTCTTTCCCAATGTCCAAACCTCATCATGGCTGTGGGAATCTGCATCTGGGCTTGCAAAGTCCCTTCTCTCTTGCAAGCCAAGGGAATCCAGAGTTTCCTTCCTGCAGAAGACAGCAGCAGGAGGTTTAGTTGCACTTGTGCCTGCAGCTGCCTGGCTGATCACAAAGGAGGGACATTTTCAAAGCAAGCTGCAAATTGCAAGCAGAAGGGCAAGGGAAAAGATTCAAGTCAGGGCAACCTCTGGGCAGCAGTTCAACGTTGTGTTCATAGCAGTCTCTGTCACAGGGACTGGGGTCCTGGGTGTTGCTGGAGGAGCGCGTGTCCCAGCAGAGAGAGTGCAGTGAGCACACAGTGGTGCAATGATCCAGTACAGGAGTCTTGCCACTTTGCCAGCACAAATTCAACCTTTCATTGGCAGGACGGCATCCTGGGTGCAGGTGTCCATGCAGGGCAAGGTTTGCCAGGAGAATGCTGCAGTGTAGACCAGGCCTTAGCTGAATTGTATGAGCCTCAAGAGCCCCAGTCCTGGATCAGGACCCTGCTGTGCTAAGTGCTGTACAAACAAAGAGATAACCTTATCCCAAACAGCTTAATTTAAACACAGGAAAAGGGCCAACAGGTGGTTGGGACCAATAAGTAAGGGCAGAGAACATTTCCCAAGACTCTGCATCATCCCACTAGAGACTGAAATGAATGTTTGCACAAAACGAGCAGGTAAGTTAGACACATTCAGTCGCAATGCTTTTCCATAGGACACGGGGGGGTGGCTAGGATCCCAATTCCCATTTTCCCAGGAGTCTAGCATGCTGTTAAGACAACCAGGTTGGGATTTTCACAGAGCCTCAAAACACTGGATGCTGTTTCCCATTTTCAGCCTATGGAAAAAGATTCTTGCATTTAAATAATGCAGCATCTGGCCCACTGAGCCCCTTCTGCACCCTGGCAGCTCAGTCAGCTTGCTCATGATTACATCCAGGGGCTAGTACCAATGTGGCTACACAAACTGCCAAGCTACCGAAAACTTAGTCCATGCAATTTCTGAGTGGGCCCAAAGTTGAGATGCATAACTCTGAGAAGGCATCTAGGTCGGATAGATCTGTGTTTGCACATGCAAGCTCTAACATGTAATCTGATACACTGTAATAGCAGGGAAATGTGATTCTTCTCATTTCACGGGTAGTCGAACATAGAGGGAGGTGAGATGGCTTGCTTGAGGCCAGAGCTGATAGGGAAACCAAGAATAGGACCCAGGAGTCCCCACTCCCATGTACCACGGCCCCCTGTACATGGTTTCAATGCTGTTAGTCCAAAAACATAAATAAAAAACCTGGGGGTTAGTTCAGGATCAAGATGCTCAGTCAAAGCCCCCTGGATCTACAATGCTGGGGACTTGAGCTCCAGCTGTACAGCACCACCTCCAGCCCTAGGTGGGAAAGCAGGAGACAATCAGGGATTCACATTCCCATCCCTGGCCTCGGGGCTTTGCTCTCTGCTTACAGCTCTGGGGAAAACCCTGCCTCATCACCTGTGAGCACAGAGGACCCCATGCAATGAAACAACTGCATTTTTATTGCATGAGGGAGAAGGCTGGAGTAGCAAGATTTACAGAGGCCACGTGCTGCAAAATGGTTCTTTCAGTAGAGAGATTTGGCAGAAGGGCAAGGTTGGGTTGGGCAAAGACTGTGCACTGTGCATTCCCAAAGGCCTTAGCACTGGCTCTGCACTAAGAAAAGGGCTGGATTAGAGCTCTGCATCCCAAGTCCAGCACCCATCCCAGTTACTAGGGCTGGGCAAAGGATTTGCCACTCGTTGAGAAACAGGTTTCAGATGGCTGAGACGTTGCCTCGTGACTGTTGCACAGGTGCTGGAGAAAGAGTCACAGGGTTAGAAGGGTCAGTTCATCCAACCCTTTCCAACAACACAGGCTGAGCTATTCCTAAACTACTCCAGACTGACGCCTGTCCAGCCTCTTCTTGAAACCTTCAATGAAAAGGATTCCATCGTCTACATGCATGGCTTGTTCCACTATCCTACTGCTCCTACCATTTGGAAACCATGCCTGGCCAGCGCCTCCTGAGCTATCAAGTGCAGTGGACAGCAATTTCCCAAGGATTCCCAACTTCAGACCCTCCAATGTATTCAACAAGCCACAAACCCAGACACCCCAGGAGCACCCTACAACAAGGCAGAGGTGAAGGCAGGAGAGACAGGCACTGCCAATGCCTTGCTATTGTGATGACAGAGAAATGACCAGTTAAGAGATGCTCAGGGGAGCCTAGGAAGAGGATCATGTCCCACACTAGAAGGCCAGAAAACCTCACAGTCCTTGCCAGTCTGACTGGGGAATAAATTCCCTCCCAACACCAGATGCAGATGCAGATGCAGATGCAGGGGGCTGGAAGGGACATCACAAGATCATCGGATCCATCCATCCTCCTGCACTTGGGCAGGAAATGACTTCAGGAAGAGCAAAATTCACTAACCAGGAGCCAGTTAATCCCAGTTTGCTTTGCCACAGTTGACACAAACCCACAACCTGCCACTTGCTACAACTGCTATTTATTAGAAGGTCCCTGCCCTGTCCACTGGGGCATGGGCAGCACCACCCAAAAAAGTCTCAAACTCACTCTCTTTGCTTGGATAATACATCCAAGCCACCTTCTTTACTCCCCCACTGACACAGGCTGTATTTTTGGACTGTGCCATGCTCCACTAGCAAAGGGGAAAAGTAGTTTTATTGTAGATCTCACTCCCAAGGTGTGTCACAAATAAGGGAGGGAACAGATTAGCCTCGTATCAGCTACAAAGAGTTAATAAAAACAGCTCAGCGCTCCAGAGACAGGAGGCGGGAAGGCAAGTTTCATTCTTAACGGCAGAGCCAAGTGTCAGCATAACAAGGTGAGTCTCATTATGGGAGTCGCACACATGCATTTCTTTTCCCACATGGGCAGCAATATAATGTGATGGTCCAGCTTCTCAACCCCCTTTTTAATGAACACAGCCAAGGCTGAATAAATGTGGATCCCTCATAAGCTAAGCATCTCAGAGATACTAACAGTGCTGTAGTGCTGCTAAACTGCATTCAACTTGGGTTTTACTATTTCTTGCTCACGTCAACATTAGGACAAAAAACAAAAATTGAATAATGCTGCTGAAAAACCTTCTTTTTTTTTTTTTTGTATAGAGCTTACAGGAACAATCTGCCACGGGAAAAACTCATTCCATGTTTCCTCTCCCCTCACCCCCCTGCAAACGTATATTCAAAAGATCCCCATAAGGTGTCATGAACATGATGAAAACAATACAAATAAGTATACTCACCATAAGCTGCATGCAATTTATGCCCCTGTAAGGATGTCACCTAGCAGAGAGCTAAATCTGAGGTAGGTACAGAGACCACGCAGACAAAACCACTGCCTTGATATGGAGAGAGGGACAGTTCAATATCTGGGTAAACCAGACCTGTGCTGAGCAAGGTACCCACATATGCCTTTCCCCAGGGATTTCAGAGGGACTAGCTCATGTGTTTCAGCTTGTGCCTAACTGCATTTATCCAGGTGTGGAGTAAATCAAGTGCAACTGGGCCTTTTATTTTCACTGGGAGTGAAAGCACCTCCCAGCGCTGGAAGGGGAGGGTGGTGGAGGGGGTGAGGGGATGTTAAACCAAGGGTGAGCAGGGGTTTCTCACTCACCGATCCTCAGGGAGTGGGGGCTGGCAGCGATCTTCATCAGCCACACCAGAAGGAGCACCAGAGGCGCCAAGACCCGGGGCATCTTCTATAAATCCTCATGGAGCCCTGTGGTGGTCTGGGCATGACATAACTCTGCAAAGAGGAAAGCAGCAGGGGGGTTAGCAACAGCAGCCAGAGGGTCCAGCCATCCCACGGACACATCCCAGCTTCAGTTGGGCCCAACTGCGTGGACAGAAAGTTTATCACCCTGAGTTTATCAGGGAGAGAGAGGGAGACAGGGTGTGCATCTTTTTAGCTGCTGACCGGAAGCAAAGCAGTCATTCACACAGCTCTAATCCCAATGCCGGGGACCATCCCTTGTAGACCCCGCCCCTTGTAGATCCATTTTTCTCCTCTGCATAACCCTGCAGCCCTAAGCCACCAAGCTGCCCATCTTTACTCCTGCAATGGGTCAACTCTCAGGTGCTCTTTGAAATCCAACACCACCATTAAAGGCAAAGCAATAGGGGGAATGACTTGGGGTTGGGGGGTGGGAAGCACTATGCCTTATTATTATCACTGCTAGCTGGAAAGGCACTTAGATACCTAAATGCTCATACTGGTTCCTACCTGGCAATTTGAGCAGCTGAAGTACACAACTGGGCACCCTAACTAATATGCCAGGATCAGAAAATACAGGCTTACTCTGACGCATAAGCATTTGCTTCTCTAAGTGTTTAAAATGCTAGAAAAAAGACAGAGCCAGGTGATAAAGACACCAGGGCAGGAACGCCCTGTCCTGGAAGCAAAGCTCTGGGTTCACCCCCTGCCTTTGCTGGGGTAGTCAGGTCAGCAGGGTCAGATGTATTCGTTATCTGTCATAATTCATCCCGGGGCTCTTCTGCTGATCTATGGGCTAGTACCCAATTAACAGCAGCTTGTTTTCTACCCAGGGAGGCAGCTGAAGGATCAGATGAGGATCACAGGGGCTGAGAGTGAGCAGAAAAGGGACTTTTGCCAAGGGCTGGGGAATCGCTGGATTGGCACGAAACAGCAATACAGCAAGGGGCAATCATTTCCGTACATCACCTGATGTAGCACCGGGATCTAAGCCCTCCTAGGCCTGCTGATCTCTGTTATACACAACCTTTTTCTTAGGTGGAAACGTACACGGCACCTTGTGCACGTGTGCTAGCAGGCCAGTCCTGACCCAGTGCCCCTCACTCCTGACCTGCTGCCCCCAGGCCCCAGCCCCCCAGTGTGTGGGACAGGGGGTGGGTGGGTCGGTCATGGAGGGCCCCCCCAAGAAGCCCCTTGCAGGCTGGACCTCTGCCAGGCCACAAGGGAAAAGCCACAGTATCCCACATTTTTCTCCTTTAAAGGAGAATCTCTTTTTAAATTTGTTCACAACTTTTCCATATATTCTTGAGACCCACTTTTGGGTCATGACCCACAGGCTGAGAAATTCTGATCTACACCAAGATCCTGCTCAAAGAAGGACCATCCACAACTAAATCAACCCAGGCAAGGTTTTATCTACCTGGGTCTTAAAAACCTCCAAGGATGGGGACTCCACCACCTCTCTGGGTAACCTGTTCCAGTGCTTTACTACCCTCCTAATAAGAAAGTTCTCCCTAATATCCAACCTCAGTTTCCCTTGCTGCAACTTGAGTCCATTGCTCCTTGTCCTGTCATCTGCCACCACTGACAACCGTCCAGCTCCATCCTTTTTGAAACAACCCTTCAGAGAGTTGAAGGCTGCTATTAAATAGATCAGGGGTAGGCAACCCCCAACACGCATGCCACAGCATGACACGTGAAACCATTCTGCTTGGCACACATGCCTCAGAAAAGGGACTGAGGTTACGCTGCCACAACAAGGATCAGGCCCTACCAGCTCCCCTGCCATCTGCCCCTGGCGCACCAACATCTTACAAGTCGAGGTTCTGGGTGATTCGGGCACTTTGCCCAAAAACGCTGCCGACCCCTGGAATAGATGATAAAGGTTTCCCACGCTAATCTTCAGCATGGCCGACGCTGCTGTCACTGATCCACATGCTGCAGAGAGCTGCAATTACGACGTCAAATCTAACCTGCAAGCAGAGGGTTAGATTTGTTGCTCAGCTCCAGATGCACAGACGTTTGTCACTTGAACTGAAAAGCATTTCTCTGAGCTCACAGTAGGGCTAGGCCCCGCGTCCACGCGGTGCACCCCGCCACATTGCTCAGTCACCCGAAGTGGTGGAGTAGCATTTACCGAGGGAAGGGCACAGCTGGAAGAGGAGGGATGTCAGACCAAATGACTCCTCCTGGAGCGACCAAAGCCTTGGCACAGAGATGTTTTCCAGTGGTATCACGAACAGCAGCATGGAGAGGAAATTTTCAATCAGCAGCAAAACTGTTGTGCCTTAAGTTGATAAAATCATCTCCACAGGCAGGAATGCCCTTAAACACTGACGCTGAATATTTCATCCATTACCTTGTCTATCCCTTCTCCAGCCTGCTGGGAAATACACTCAACATTGTTTGTTCATCTAGAGACACAGGACCAAATCTGGACGCCCTTACAGAGGCAAAAAACTACTCAAACGCCTCTGACATTACGGAGAGGTCGGTCAGAGGAAAAACATTACTTTCAATCCCTGGAGTGGATGCTGAGGTGCCTCTACGCAGTCTCTGAGCCCCCGTTATCTGACAGTCTCACCACACAACACGCCTTTGAAAGGGACGGCTGCTTTTCACCAGGAGTTTCTTCTGCCTCAGTTCCCCTCTGGGTACGTCTTCACTGTGTCCCCAGCAGGGATGTCTCTCAACACACCCCAGCCGTGCCCTCTTCCTTCCCTGCTTCAAACCTAGGAACATGGTGCCAAGGCCACTCCAGGGACATCTCCACAACAGTCAACTCTGAAAACAGCCATCGGGAATGTCCCCAGACTGGCTTCACCACCAGCAAGCAAGTGCATCCCTGCCAGGACACACTGGGGACCCAAGTGTAGATGCATCTTAAGCATCTTGGCCAGCACTAGGCAGGAAATCTGGGGCAGAGGACAGAACCAACCCCTGGACCTCAGACATTCATCCCAATCACCGTGACATCCTACTTTCTTGCACTCCCTTCCTTTCAAACCCATGCACCGCATTTTCTTATGTACAACACGTGCACCATTTCCCCCAAAACGAGCTGCTGAAAATTGGAATGTGCATTATAACTGAGAAAATACAGTAATAGCCGTTGCTGCCACTTGCACTTGTGCCAGCAAAAGAGAAAGCAACTCTGCCTGCAGTTCAGAGGGAGAGGAGCAATGAGCAGGCTCTGCTCCCTAGCTGCTGCTACTCAGTTCTGCACTACAAGGAAAGGTCTATTTTTTAATTCGTTCTGCCTTTCAAACAGAAGATGCGTATCTTATTCCAGGGCACGCTGTATGTAGGAAAATACCATATCTGAATACTGGGAGCACAAATTTGCTGGCCAAGGTGCCCCAGCATGCGAATGCCCAATGGGAGACCCTATGAAAGGACCCGACTCAGGAGGTGGTCAGCTTTGGAAAAATCAGGGCCCTTTCAAAAGGCACCCTCTCAAATCCCTAGTTACTTTTGGAAATTGCACCTCTCGGACCGTTTGGCTTGTCTGTAACAGCGGCAAAGCAACAGCAGTAAAACAGCAAGCCCAAAAATGTTAAGTGTATGGAAAATTGGTTACTTAGAAGTGTTTGCAGCAGCAGATTCAATTCGTAGAACAACATATCATTTGAGCGCTTTGAAGCAGTTATTTCAAAACTTTCCAGGTTATTGACAAAACAGCAGGATCAAGTCAAATTTACTCACTCTGGTATTACAGCCAGACCTGTGGAAGTAGTTTGCTCACACTCTCTCCACACTACAGACACACAGGAACATACCGTCTCTCCAATCGATTCGGAAGAGAAATGAAAGAGAGGGGGCCAGATCCTGAGAAACAGGGAGGACCCGTGATGCCCGCCGACTCCAAGGAGACTCAGGGCCTTCTCGGGGTCGGACTGAAAGCTGCCCACAGAGCCACCGTGCAGTTTGCAGGCACTCCCTGTGCACCACTGCTGCTGTTGTAATGGCTCAGATGCACAATGCCAGGAGTGAGCCCCCCACCACCACCTTGTGCACTGCGATTAACCACCGGACCTGTGCTAACAAAGTCCCTACAACAGGATGCCAGACATAACCACTCTCCCTCCCTCCCCGCGGGCTCCTTTTGCCTGACCAAGACAGCCTAAAAGAGATGACCAGAAAGATACAGAAACCGAGAAGGAAACTCTAAATACCTTTTCTGCCTGAGATGCAATGGAGAAACTTGGCAGTTGCTCATCCCTGCTGTTTTCTCCACTACAGCCCTGCTGCAGTCTGCCAGCCGCTGACACTTCAGCTGCCTGTTTGTTCAAAAGAGCAACCAATCAAAAGGTATTTGTACCGGAAACTAGCAGAAGTATTGGAAGCTCCTTTGCTGCACTGTCATCTTGAACATGTCACCTGAATCCCCACCCACTCCCCCCTGCCACCAGCTGTTCTCTCTCTCTCCCCTCTGCTTCGGGCCCGCTTCTCGCCTTGATCCCTCGCCTTAATATCGCCGCCTGTCAGTGGCATTTGTAAAGGAGACCCATAGGAAATGGCAGCACATTGTTGTGTGATTCAGTCCAAGAGAAAATTCCATACTTGTCAGCATTTGTTAAATGAAATGTAAGAGATCAAGAGTGCTAACGTAGAAGCAGATGGGGCTTGTCAGGGACGCAACAATAGCCAGCACTCATAAGATGATGAGAAGAGCAAAAGCAAATCCTCCGGTGAGGTGCTGACCTGACACTTATAATGGACGAAGTGGCAAGATGGAGTTGATAGCCTGAGACTAACTCCCCCATCACCGTACTTGCTCTCCCAGCAGCTCGTCCTCAATAGCAGCCCTCCGGTCTGTCCCCAAAAGCACCTCAACAAGAGGGGTGTTTTTCCCAGAGACTCAGATGAGCCCAATACTCAGAGCAAACACGCTGCCGCTAACGTGCAGCCGTCTCTGGGGAAGAACCTGAAAGTAGCTTAATAGCATATATCTTCATTTGGATAAAGGCAGAAGAGCACATGTCCTATCAGAGGCACTGAGAAAGTGCCACACTGTAATTTGGGCAGGATGC